CCCGCACGTCTGGACGCGGCCGGGGAGAAACTCGCGGCCCCTCGGGGTGTTGGGGTGCGGTGGAGGTTTCTCCCGCAGAGCCCCGGCCTCCCCTCCCCCTTGGCGTCCTCCCTCTCCGGGTTCCCGCACCTCTGCCTCCCCTCCCGGCGCGCGGCTGCCTCGGCGCTGCCTTCCCTGCTGCATCTAGCATCTCCAGAACGAAATAGAAACTTCTCCCTCGAGCGCAGGCTGGTCACATAGTGGTCCTTGGAGTGTGTGTGGGGATGTGTGGGTAAGAGGCGAGGTCACATTTTGCACGAGCATCGAAAGTGCCTAGAGACCACTGTTTGAGGTTATTGTGTTTGGAAAAAATGCATCTGCCTCCGAGTTCCCGACTGCTCCCCTCCCCCATGTATGGGCTGTGACATTGCTGTGGCCACAAAGGAGGAGGTGGAGGTAGCGATGGTGGTGGAAGAACAGGTGGCCAACACCCTACACGGAAAGACTGTGACCCACAGTGAAAAGGAAAAAGTTAATCCCAGAAGGTCTGTTGTGTTTTGTCAAGTTAAAACACCTGAAGAAAACCCTCAGCGCAGTAGCAGGGTTTTTCCTTGCTTATTGCCCGTAGAGAGCAATAGCTAAAATAGCACTTCAAGTTTAATTTGCTTGTTCTTTTCCCTTCTCCATCTCTTCTGTATTACTGTCATTCTTAGCACATTTGTTCCGCATCCCAAGAGTTGTTCATGATTATAGTACTCCTAAACGACTCAGGATTTTTTAAACTGACTTTTATAAGAGGAGTTCATTGTAGCAATTAGCCAGCTAACTGCTTGAGATAAATACTCTTAAGCCTGTGCATGTTAGAGCTGAAGTCCTACTCTAGCCTTCTTAAATGTTGATATCCATCAAAACAGGGGTTCAGAAACAGGTATTATTGTTACACGTTATGTTCGTAATAGAAAATCATTAAAAAAGGAATTCTAAAGGGAATTTATAATCATTTGAATTCACTGATGTCACTCATAAGTGACTACGTTCAAAATGTGAAATCCAACATGTGATAGACATAGACATCAGATATGGTTGACATGAATGCTATTTTGGGACTGTAGCCATCATCCACAGGCATCCCTAGTTTTAGAAATGGGTAGATGGTAATTGAATTTTATGACAAATAATGATTTTTTTTTTTCTTAAAATTATTGGGTTCTCATCCCAGTTTCAACCGTTTCTAGCATTTGTAACTTTAGGTGAGAGAGCCCCCACCCCTTTTCTGGTCCAGGATCTTCAGTAAGATTTCTTTGAAACCTAATTCTTCCTAGTGAATTTAAATACTATGTTGATTTAAATACCCAAAAAAGATTTATTTTTTTCTTGTTTCAGAAACCACTGCATAAACAAATAGGCTAGAAGGTTGTGTCTCTGAATTAACACATGAATATGTAACTAAAGTCTAATGTGGTATCTGTCCGGGCATACATACCTGGTGTCTTTTTCAAGACACAGGGTCCAGGACTCGCACCACAAGGTTCGCCATGTGAAATCCAGGTGCCTTAACCACCACAGCATAGATTGGCCCAATACTCTTAAAAATAATTGAGAATCTCAATCTTTTATTTGTATAGGGTTTATAGCTACATATTAGGAATTAAAACTGAACATTTTTTAAAAATTCATTTTAGAATGGAAATAATAAGCCCTTTAGTTGGTAACATGATTAAATTTATGAAAAATAACTTATCCAAAGCAAACCCCCAAATTAGTGAGAAGGGTGGTATTTTTCACACTTTAGCAAATCTCTTTAATTATATGTCTTAATCAAAGACATGTGGATTCTCAAATCTTTATTCAGTTTACTGTGATCATACATTTGCAAGACGACCCTTCATACACTTGTGAAAAAATTAGAGTGGAAGGATAAGGAACATTTTATTATTATTAGGAAACAGTATTGACCTCTTGGGTTCCAAAAGAAGTCTTCGGAACCCAAGGAGTTCCAGACATCTTGAAAATTCTTCTAATCTCTCCAAACTGTTTTGGGGTATGAGGGGGGCAGAGAGCTGGAGGATACATTTTAGTGTGATTTTCCTCGTCTATCTCATTTACTACAGCCCATATCTGAAACAGAAATGTGGGGTAAACAAGATGAGCAGCATGTGTTGGCGGCTGTCAACGTGCCCTCAGACCAGCAGAAAGAGCAGATGGAGCAGTACTTTAGCAGTACTTGGTACAGTGGTGGTCTGCCTGCTGTGCTCTTTGTGAGGGTGCTTAGGAGGTTAGCATGTCATTATTTGGAAAATCAAAGTACCTTTTGTTTTTCTGTGGTATCTATTTGGAGAATTCTTTGTCTTCAGGAAATAAGATGCAGCAGGTATTTAGTTTTTATCAACAGGACATACACAGGGTCTTCAAAAAGTCCATAGAAAGTGTGCAGTATGAAAAAAAGTTGTGTGGATTTCAAATTCTTTTGCCATCAGAATATACCCATACTTGAATTCTATTTTTCCATGAACTTTTTGAGGTACTTAGTCTAAAGTATTAATCTGGAGCTACTTGTCCTATCATAGATAATTGTGCATTTACTGCCATACTTTATGAATCTTACTTATCTGTAAAAAGTATATGTGGGAAAGAAGTTAAATATATTCATTTTATTTCATAAAGTTTGTAATGGCTGACTAGAAGTAATCTTTTCTTTTTTTTGAAAGATTTTTTGCTCTAAGGCACGTGTGCTGGCCAGAGAGACAGAAGGTGAGAAATCACCCCCTAGGGAAGATGGCCATGCCACAGTCCCTTCTCTTCCATTGTCTTCTCAGGAATTTGGGTGGGCACGCACGTACACGCACCTGGTGTGAGTTTTAAGCCACAGGGTCCAGGACTTGAGCTACAGTCTACTATGTGAGAGTTCAACGATGTAACTGTTATACTATTTGTTGGTCCCAGAATCGTTTTATTTTCTAAACTGTATTTGTTAACCATACAAATTTGTCAGCATTTATTGTACCTGTTGCAAGATGATGCACAAGAAGCAGAGTAAATGTTACATGGATTAATGAGAAGACTTAAAAAATTTTTCCTTACGAGCATTGCTTATCTCTAAATTTTATATAACTTTTCTTATGTGTAAAAATGCTGTTTTTCAATACTAATGTATGTTTATATAATGTGATTGGTGATCAAATCACCTATACTGAATAGTTAACCAAAATTCTCATCTTTATTTTCCCCAGCAAATATTTTACAGATTAAAATACCACCAAATGTTGTCCTTAATCTGATTCAGTGTCTAAATTTTTATTTCCCTTGACACAGCCCAGCTATATTTGATACTCTTCCCTTCCCACTCCGTCCAATTCTTGATACTTACCCAGGACTACTATGATGCTGCTTTTAAAAGTTTCCTATATAGTTTTTGGCTCCAATGCAGGTACTCTTAGCCTATCTCCTTGTAACTCTTAGAAGCCAGAGTTCAGTAGGAATCCTGTAAGGATAGGAATGGAGATGGCTGTCAACAAGTTCTGCGAGGGTGTGTCTACAGGATATAGAGCACTGTGCTAGACACTTACACTAAGTGAAGTCATGGTATGTTCCTTTGAGAGCCATTAGCTGCTGCGGAACAGCAGTGTGGCTGGTTAGGTAGAATAACCTGAGTACAGGATAAGAGCCATCCTTATACTCTGTGTGCACGTTTCTTAAGTGGAAGGGTTTGTAAAAGAGTACAGTTCATTATGTAGACACCTGTATATTGTACTGGAGTTCTCATTGTTGAATTTGATAAGATATTTTGAAATAATTTTCCATATAAAGGAAAGTTTGTTTAAAAATTGATAAGAGCATTTGAAAAAGCATTAAGTCGTGTGTGACACATGTTCTAATTTAGTCACATTTTCATTTTTATTATAAGGCCTGCTGAAAATGACTGAATATAAACTTGTGGTAGTTGGAGCTGGTGGCGTAGGCAAGAGTGCCTTGACGATACAGCTTATTCAGAATCACTTTGTGGATGAATATGATCCTACAATAGAGGTAAATCTTGTTTTAATGTTATATGTATGACTTACGCAGGACTGTCCTTTGGCATGAAAAGGTTTCTCTGATCAGTTTTGTGAGTACGTTTTCCAAGGTAATTATCCTGAAAGTTACTTTATTTGAAATGTACTTGGGTTTCAAGGCCTCAACTACAGTTATATATAACCATAGATATGGGGAGCCCTGTTTCTCTCAGGAGAATGTTAATGTCACCGATGTTTACTCTAGGTCAGTATATCTGCATTTTTAAAAAAAATATTATTTATTACTATTATTATTAGTAGTAGTATTGGATTTTACCAAACAGAGAGGGAGAATGATAGTGAGAAAGCGAGCCACCAGGTCCGGGACTTGAACCATGGTCGGCCATGTGGGAGTCCAGCGCCTTTAACCACCACACCACCTGCCAGCCCCAGTATATCTGCATTTTGATTAGAAGTATATTTTGGAGTTTTCCGAGAGGGTTAAAAATGTAAATGTGCATCTGTTGTGTACCTTAAGTCATTCTTTTTAATGCAGCTTTTATTTTTATGGTTTTTTTTAATATTTTAATGTCATGTGTAGATGTTTGATTGATTTTTTACTGGTGAAATGTCATTTTAAAACTTAATTAGTTGTATTTTCCTGTTATTTTTTTCCCCCTCAACATTAAATCTACAGCAACTTGATATATTTTCTAAAGCTCATTCTTCTCCTAAGGGGTATGAAGGCGTTCCATACCTAGTTCTTTCTTTTGCACTGTGGTCCTTTTTCTCATGGAAATGTTAGGATTTTGGTTTTTATTACAATTTTATTAATAAGCTTTTGAAGTTACTCGTAGACTTATTTAGTTTCATGAAAACTTACCAAAAAAGGCCAACAACATAATAATAAACTATATAAGGCCTGGAAGAGACCTTGAGAGGTCAGGTAGTATTTCTCTACTGCCTACAAGCAGACTGGTCTTAAATTATCCCAAGCAGATAAGGATTTATTTAATCCCAAAGACCTGCAAAAGAGGTTATTCCATAACCGTCTTTGTTAACTCATTTTCAAAATGTAATTGTTAGTATATTTTATGTATATTCTGAATCTTCCTGTTAATTTAACATCAGTGGAAATGGAATGAGTACATCACCTTGTCTTTGAAATATTGTTACATTGTTAAGATTATTTCTTAGGCATTTTTGCCCGCGGGAAGTATTCCTGATCCCTTAGCTTTTATTCTAGATCTGATGTACCAATTCTTAATCAGTTCTTAAAAACTGCCCAGACCTTTTTTCAAGGTCCAGACTGTGGAGTCTAGAACAAGCCAAAATGCCCTATAAAGGTACTGTGCTGGGTAATGTTGTTAAGAAACACTTTGTCCTGAGGTGGATTCTGAGGGAATTGATGCCCTTGGGAAGATGTTTATACAATTTAGAACTTATTTAAGGATTAGATAACTGTTTATAAGAAAATGTCAAATATATTTCCCACTATAAAAAAATGGAGAAATAATGCTTACACATGGAAGCAATTTTTATTAGACTTCCATGTTTCCAATTTTAAGAATTTAGTAGATGAAAAATGTCTAATTAGTGGGAACCAGCAGTTAGCGCAATGACTATGTTGCTGGACTCCCACGTAGTCGACCGCGGTTTGCGTCCCGGACCCGGTGGCTTAAAATTCACACCGGGCGCGTGTGAGAGAATGGAGGAGAAGGGATTGCAGCATGACCATGCCCCCGAGGGGTGATTTCTCGCTTTCTGTCTCTATGTCTCTCTCTGTCTGTCTGGTGAGTGCACGCGCCCTATAGCGTAAAACCTCTCCCCCCCCCAAAAAAAAGTCTAATTAGTAAAGAAAAAATGTCAAATGGCAGTAAATTACCCTATATAATAATCTTTGTATATTAACTTCTTTTTTTTGTTTTTTCTTAGAGTTTTTTTTTGCTATAGGGCGCATGCACTCGCCAGAGAGAGAGACAGAAAGCGAGAAATAACCGCCCCCTCCGGGGGGATGGCCACGCCACAGTCCCTTCTCCATTCTCCTCTCAGGATCTTGGGCACACATGCACATGCACCTGGCATGAGTTTAAGCCACCGGGTCTGGGACTGGAACCGCGGTCAACTACATGGGAGTCCAGCGACATAGCCATTTTTCTAACTGCTGGTCCCTATATTAATTTTTTATAAGCCAATGCTGTATTATAGTTTTTTTTTTTCCTCCTCCTCTGAATAGAATTGAATAATTCACCTATTTCAATCTATATTACAAATCCGGGGTTTTTTGGAGTACTTCCCACTTATGTCAGATGTAGAAGTAAGTTTTAATAGAGTTGAGGTTAAGCATGGAACTTTGCCTGAAGTTTTGGAAAATGATTTTAACACAACTGCCCCCCATATTATACTATCTTGGAAATTTTATTATACTTTCTCCTATCAGAGGTTATGAATGCAGTTAAATAGATTAGGAAATCTTTTACCCAGAATTGTTAAAATGCAATATAAATCTTAAAGAAATAAAGTTAATAGTTAATGATTTATTTAGGAGGAAAGTAGAAAAAGTTTATAAACTCAAGTCTATAATTTTTATTGTAATTTCTGCCATATCAGAAGGCTTGACTCTTGGAAGGGTTGGTTACCTGTGAACTTTGAAACTGACGTTTTCTCACGTAATTAAACCACTTGGTAAAAATGTATCTGAGATTATCTGTTATCTCCAAGTTACAGTAAGTCTCTGAGGGACCTGATCACATTAAGCTCTTGGTATAGGCCAACTGTATGAAAGGCAAGAGAATTTAGTTGAATTTAATAAATAGTTGATTGAAAAAAATACTGATTCCATCTGCTCTAAAAGGTTAAAAAGGAGGAAAAGCAATTTCACTGTTGCTGTTTAGTTTTGATTGATGATAGTATGGGTCAGAAAATAAATTAGAGCAGATGTAGATTTTGCACATTTGGATTTCTGATCAGTTTTCCTCATTTAAAAAAAGGAAAGAAATTTTCAAAAATTTCAAGTGATACATTATTTTTTAATGATTTAGAATTTGCAAAGATTTACATTAAGAGGTAGATAAGGTAAGGGTAGATAATCATTGTTTCTTTCATTTCATAGATAAAAGTAGTCTCTGAGAGATTCTAAGTCACCCAAGGATACTTTGCTAGTAAGTGATAGGATTATAATTTAAACTTTCTGAGACCACATTAAGTAGTATTTCCAGTGCACTTTTTATGTAAGTTGAAAGCAAAAAATTAGCTTTTACTCTAAGAAAATAATTTTTTTTTTTTGAGAGATTTTCGCTATAGGGCACATGCGCTCGCCAGAGAGACAGAAAGCAAGAAATCACCCCCCAGGGGGGATGGTCACGCCGCAATCCCTTCTCCTCCATTCTCCTCTCGGGATCTTGGGCACGCACGCACACGCGCCCGGCGTGAGTTTTAAGCCACCGGATCCGGGACGCGAACCATGGTCGACTACGTGGGAGTCCAGCGACATAGCCATTACGCTAACTGCTGGTTCCCAGAAAATAATTTTTTGAGGGGAGAGATTTTTTGCTATAGGGCACATGCGCTCGCCAGAGAGACAGAAAGCAAGAAATCACCCCCCAGGGGGGATGGTCACGCCGCAATCCCTTCTCCTCCATTCTCCTCTTAGGATTTTGAAAATAGACTTATGCACGCATGCAAGGTGTGAATTTTAAGCCTCCTGGTCCAGGACTTGAACCACAGGTGACTATATGAGAGTTCAGTGATGCAACTATTATGCCTTTTGCTGGTCCCTGTCTAAGAAAATATTTTTAATAAAAGGACGCTTACTTAGAATTATCAATATACCATAACTGAATTCAGCATATCTAGTGGCAACTTAATGGAGTGACCTGACATCGAATTAGATAGGCATGACTCATTGATGGGGTGTGTTTATATTTGAGACTATCACCTTTACTTCTATTCTGAAAGAGTTTATCTTTTATGAAGTCTACCAAAGAGTTCCAAAGATAATGAAATACCTTGAGATAACGAAATACCTCCCGAGTGGGGAAAGATCATGACAAACTCAAAACAAGCCCCCAAACACAATATTTGGTTAGAAATATGTGCTTTTATAGATTAGAGATCTTTTGTTATCAAAACATATTTCCTGAAGTGATTTTTCCCCCAAGGAAAAATTTGGTGGAAGAAGAGAACTCTTGCCTTAAAAAAAATAATAATAATAATTACAGAGATTAGAATGATCAGTTGATCCATTAGTATATAATGAGTATTTACAGGATATAATGTGCTAATAAAAATGAATGTAGTAAAAATAAATTTTTCCCTAGGCTCTGATTCTTTGCTATCTGTATGCTTTTGTTAATGTGACTCCCTCAGTCTAAGTTTCATGCCCTTCTTTGTAACAGTTTCCTATTTAATAGAGAAGAGTGCACTCATAATTGCATTGATTTGTTCCATCTTTAGTGCTCTCAAGCAATAGAAAAATTCTTTACCAAAGTTTATTTTTTAAAATCGTTTTTCCATATTAAAAGATCATGACAAACTCAAAACAAGCCCCCAAACACAATATTTGGTTAGAAATATGTGCTTTTATAGATTAGAGATCTTTTGTTATCAAAACATATTTCCTGAAGTGATTTTTCCCCCAAGGAAAAATTTGGTGGAAGAAGAGAACTCTTGCCTTAAAAAAATAATAATAATAATTACAGAGATTAGAATGATCAGTTGATCCATTAGTATATAATGAGTATTTACAGGATATAATGTGCTAATAAAAATGAATGTAGTAAAAATAAATTTTTCCCTAGGCTCTGATTCTTTGCTATCTGTATGCTTTTGTTAATGTGACTCCCTCAGTCTAAGTTTCATGCCCTTCTTTGTAACAGTTTCCTATTTAATAGAGAAGAGTGCACTCATAATTGCATTGATTTGTTCCATCTTTAGTGCTCTCAAGCAATAGAAAAATTCTTTACCAAAGTTTATTTTTTAAAATCGTTTTTCCATATTAATTATAGAAGTTGTTTTACTTATAGAATAAGGTAT